CGCTCACAATGTACTTTCTTCAGCTTTCAATAACACTGCTTCTTTTGTACTCAGCCAGTGGAACGTCAAGGTAAAAAAAGATCACACGATGATGGAACTGTGTTAAGCTTTACAGTGAGAACTTTTAAAGAGACTGTGGAAAGTGATTGTAAAAAGCGCAAAGATGACTGGGCTCAAAATGTTCAAGATGCATGCATGCATCAGATGCTGTTTACCATCAAGTCTGAAGCATAAACTTCAGGACCGGGAAGCAGATTCCTGTACAATACCAGTCTGGCACTGATGGGAAATCTGAGCTGAAAGGTCGACCAGTAGACAACTTACGAGAGAGTGCATTCTTGAAAGTACAGCTGTGTATCTAGAAGAGAATGACGATGAGCAGGTATCAGAAAATGTTTAAATATCTTTACTTTTTGACGTAAGCAATACGAGCAGTCCCTGATTTAATAATATTAATATTTAAATATTAAGTGATTATTATCTTTCTAACATTGCTACCGAGGTTGAAGCCAGCAGTACTGTGAATGCTGACCGAGCCAGAGAAGTGGGCTGCAAGATCCTACAATCCATGGCTGGGCAAAATGTGGGTGACTTTACGTTCAAGAATCAAGAAGAAGGACACGGTGGTCACAATGGATAGCAAATCATGTGCTAGAGTAGATGGACAATCCGTACCAGTAGACTCACAGCTACTCTTCCAGCGTCTGCTAACTGTTGCACGTGAGAACTCTGAGAATATGAGTGACGTGTTCAAGTACGGTATGAGCTGTGCAACCAACCATAAGCTCTGTTTGAACAATCTAGACTACCTCGCGAAGCTAAAAAAATCAATACTAGCAGATCCTATCTGGAATATGGCTAAAGGAAATGACATGCATGCTGCACAACCTCTGACACATCAAATGCAGTATGTATTTGACGGTGGATCACTACTACCTCGACTGCCATGGCCCAGAGGTGCAACATTTGATTCTATCTGCATCATGTATGTGGACTTTGTCAGGAAATTTCAACAGCCCACTATTGTGTTTGATGGCTACATGGCAGGACCATCTACAAAAGACAACACACGCTCGACGGTCTCGTGGTGCAGCTGGAGTAAAGGTTAACTTCAATCACGATACCCCTTTCACCACCAAGAAGGAACAGTTCTTGACGAATGCATCCAACAAACAGGAGTTTGTGAACATGCTTTCCCAGAAAGTGGTGTCTGCTGGCTGTCATGTTCTACAAGCAGAAGGTGATGCTGATGTTCTCATTGCCAAAACAGCAGTGGAGTGTGCAAATGAATGTTCCACCACAGCTATAGGAGAAGACACCGACCTGTTAATTCTTCTCATCTTCAGTACTAATCCAGAATCGGAGGCACTCTATCTTCAGTCTGACAAGAAGAAGGGAAAGAAGTTCCGAGTCTGGGACATTCACTGGTTCCAGCGGTCCGTAGGGCCAGAAATGTGTACCCTACTGCCATTTGTACATGCCATTGCTGGTCGTGACACAACATCTCCTCTGTTTGGTATTGGCAACGGCGTTCCACTTCGAAAGTTAAAGTCTAAACAGATATTTAGGAAGCAAGCTCGTGTATTTTCCGAAGTTTCAACAAAGGATGAGGTACAAAACGCAGGTGAAAAAGCACTTGTATGTTTGTATGGTGGGCAACCAAACGAAGGTCTTGATAAGCTGCGATACCACAAGTTCTGTGAGAAGGTGTCAACAAGTACTTCTCCAGTCCAGGTACACACTCTCCCACCCACTGCTGCAGCTGCTAGGTATCACAGCATGAGAGTTTATTACCAGGTACAGGAATGGATAGGCCAGCCTGCACTATATCCAAACCGGGATGGAGTCTGGTAGAGGCCTCACTAGAGGGTCGACTGAACCCCACAACAACAGACCTACCACCAGCACCACAGGCACTGATAAAGGTTGTTCATTGCAACTGTGAAAGTGACTGCAGCTCACGAAGATGCGCATGCAGGAAGATGGGACTGGAGTGTTCTGCGGCCTGTGGTGAGTGTAGGCCATATATGATATTTAAACCATATCTAATTTTAAGACATTTAATGTATTCAAATTTCATTAAACTGTGTGAACATATATTTGATGATTTATTTATAGGAAAATTAAAAATGATAGTCTTTAGTACAACAGTAGGTGCAGTATGCTAGGAAAAAGTTAAAAAATAAACACTCAAAATGTTAATTTATTTTTTAGACTCTTCCCCCACTTAGATTTTTTTACATTTTTTGTTGGAAGTACTACATTATGTGTGGATAATATCCCCACAAAAAGAAATTCTGTTGCAAATTTTTCTAGGTCTATACACAGAATGACCGGACTATACGGCTGTGCTGCTGCGATTCCCCATTCTGGAGAAATCAAACTCGTGGTTAGTCAAATATCCTTAATTCTCGGAAAGGACGTAAATATCCTTAATTCTCTTCGTGTTCGCGTCTATATTCGGAGTTTCGTCGCTCGCCCAATATTTGAGTCGTCGTTGCGCGTAGAAATCGATTTCAGTGATGATCTATGTCGTCAGTTAACTCGTAGAAATCGGTTTCGGTGATAATTAATCTATGTCGTCAGGTAACTCGTCGAAATCTGTTTCAGTGATAATCTATGTCGTCGGGTAACTCGTAGAAATCGTTTTCGGTGACGATCTTTGTCGTCAGGTAACTCGTATAGCTCGGTTCACTCGGTAGGACCTTATTGCTCGTACTTAGCGTGGCTAACGTCTCGCTCCTCAGACTCAAACTCGTTACCGTACTGCCCGACCCTCAGTTTAACCGCGCCACAGAGACAGCACCGCAGTCAGTTGCCACGAAATTCCCGTACTGGGGCCATACTTTCAAAACTCTCTAAGTGAACGTAAGTACTTGCGCTCTATTTTCTTGTCTATGATTGGTGGATTTTGCTTGAAAGGCCGTCCATGATTGGCTGATGAACTTACGATCTCTTAACTTTTTTTGAAAGTATAGGCCCTGGACTAAAACTCGCGTGTTTCTCCGCTGCGTGGCTGTTTGACTCCGCCCTTAACTTCGTCACATGCCCCACAACATTCAAGTTCCCTTCAATCATGCCCTTCATTTATATTGATAATTATTTGTGACCTCTATTCCTACCACATTCGATCACATCCTAATTAATACTCGCAATCCCTACTCTAATCATGTCCTTTCATAACTGAAGTTATTAATTAATTCAGCCCAAGCTACGTTGAGACTATAACTTATATTATAACTTAATAATAATTATAATCTTAATATTATAACTTAAGTCAGAATTATCGACGCTTTAATCATTAGACTATGACTTCAATTGTAAATATTACCCGAAAACCCACTAGAAAAGTCCTACTTACCATGATCCTTGCATGAAGTATCACGATGTGTCTACTTAATTGCGGTAACTGAGGCTACTATGTATCATTCCACGACCACCACCATCCCTTGCGCTCAAGTTGAGCGGGACACGTATGCGTGTCTCCTGTCCTTGTACATCTGGAGGGAGCTTGAGAGAAGTCGGCTAGAACAGCTTGAAGTTAGGTTATCACGTTAACTGTGTACCGGATTAATTATTATTCGCTTTTAGCCATCACTTGCTTGGACATCCTTCACGTCTTCAAGTCACTGTGACATGCTCACTATGAGTTGACGCCTTCTGGGTCTACCAGTCTAAACTTTATTTGGACAGTCTTTGTTCACTTGAATCCTTAGTAGTATTCATTATTTAGTTTTCTCCTATTAAAGAATAAAGCATTAAAATCACACATAGTGTTTAGTCCTTTTTTCTGGCTACAGCCTTATAGAGGTTCCGTAGGGAGCGAAGAAAAGGCGAGAATTGACCGCGGGGTAAGCCAGGCCAATAGTCGGTACTACCTCCTCAATGGCAAGATTTGATCGTAAATACTGGCAACACATCTGGCATACGTAGGCATGTTCTTCGCGCCATAACTGCTGACATCAAAGACTGGAGATGGAGAAACAAAGCCCGCCAAAACTGAGACTCTGATGTGGCATTAGATGAACTTGAATGCACGTACAATGAAGATTTCATTTTAATGGCAAAGCCTTCATCAGAATAGCAAGTGGAGACGTGTTAAATTATAGTCAGTATTCCAAAGCCTACACCCCAGCAGAGAATTCATTGAACAAGGTATCTTGTGCCTTCAACACAAGCAGTAGCATACCTCAGATGAGATTAGTCGTGCCAAGTAGCGAGCGTACCACTAACTGCTCTCGGTGAACTTGCTCGTTGGACCAATCGGTCAATCAATTATACACCGAAGATTTTCAATATGAAGCACAACTCTTTAATTCGTGGATGCCAGCTTCGTGAAAACTTACTGGATGAAAGTAGGCTCACCACGGGCCGCTATAGGCCACTTCTCTCAATGAACTCCCGAAGCAGGCAGTCTGTGCTCGAGAACACTGGCCAGATAATTAGTACCTAGCGGTTACTTGGGAATGGGAGCGATTGCGGCAGCCACAACAGGCCCCGAGTAAACGCACGTTATGAGTCTGTCGTTTAGGAGTGTATGGACTTGCTTTTTTCAACTCTTCAAATTTGTCATCAATTGCAAAATGGGCATTACTGAAATCATTTCGCATAGTAAAATGTCTGCAACAATTCATTATTGGAATAACATATTAGGAATTCAATAATGCGTTTCGTTATGTCTCCGGGAAATCTAAATCTCTTTATTACGTACCTAATGTCTCGTCTCTGTCTTGTCCCGGAATTCTCAAAGAGAGCTAAAATTGCTCTGATTTTTATCACAAATCGGGATATAGCCTGCGGTTAATCTGGTCTCATCTCGAATAGAAAAAAAGAAAAAAAAAACGCACGGGTCTAGTCAAGACACGATCGGGTTGTGTGAACTTCAACACGCCGGCATTGCATTTTTGTTTCAGAAAGCTTTCATTGCGTTCAACTCAGCCTCGAGCAACTTGCGAGCGTCCATAAACTCTCGGAAGACGTTCTAAGAAAACTTACAGAAAAACATTTCTTTCGTTTATTTCAAGTAATAAAATCTATTCCGCAATCAGCACGCTGATCTATGTCATCCAGTATGTTATCCAGTTCAACTTGCAAATGCGCTCGTCTCGGCTGATTCAGTCCCTAATTGCCGCTTACCGTCATATGAATCTTGAACTTTTTTATAACTCTACGAGTCTGCTGCTTGCTACTTACTATATCGTGTGGTGCTGAAGCAGCTAGTGCTTCTCTTTCCTCTGAACGAGGTAAGTAGCCAGCAAATCGGATAATATCCCCGTGTTCAGTACCTTATACAGGCACTTAAAGTTAGTCTGGCTAACATTAGTATAACAACTCTGGCTAACTAACTTATAGTGAGTCTGGCTAACTTTTTACCAGCACGTAAGCTTATGCATAATGCATGTAATAGCTGCCATTTTCTAGTCCAAAGCTCCTAGATTGTCGTTAGAAGAAGTATTTTTTATCTTGCTGTTCATAGTTACTTCAGCCATTTGATAAATGGTCCAATACTCAGAAGCTCATATAATAAACTCTTAATATCACTGCCAAGATCATGTTCCACAAATTTTTACACACAGATTGTTCCACACAGTCTCCCATTAATTTTACATAAATAGTGTTTTTTCGGTTTTATAACAATCATCGACATTTTAGTAAAATAAATAAAAAAAAAACACCAAAATCCTGTTCATTTAGAGCTTGACGTGCGTTTAACTAGATGTGAATTCCCTTTAATGCAATGAGAATTCAAAAAGTGTAATCAATGATGATCATCATATTTCTTCGACTTGAAAAATATTCTCTTATTACTCTTACATGAAATTTCATCAATTGCATAAACATCTCTAATTTAAGTTGTTCGAGCCCTTGAAGTGGTTCGAACCACGAATTAAAGTGGTTCGAGCACTTGAAACCTAGTACACAAAACGAGGCCAATATCTGGCCCGCTACAAATTGCAGCATTATGTGGTAATGCAAACGAAGGTTACGTAGGGGTAATGCAAAGACTATTCCAATCGAAGAGCGCTTTTCAGGTAATCTACTTTTTTCTTGTAGGTGTTCTTCACGAAGATGAAATCGTTCTCCCATCCTTCAGGCAGAGCGACTTCATTGTAAGACCAATAATTTTGTCGCTTCATGTAGTGCTTCAGTTCAAGCTTGGACCAAGCACCATGAACGAACTCCACTGAGAGTGTCTGGAAGATTCCAATTAATTTTTAACAAAACAGAGTATACAGGCACTGACATGTTATGCAATAGTCTAACAGTTAAATGGAATAGAAGTAAAATCAAAGAATGCTGTACATGAAATAAAAGTAACGGATATTTTTTATTCGATATCTACCTGTATATCAACTTTGTCCCAAGGAATGGTCTTGAGGACCTCCAACTCGAAGCCCTCGACGTCCAAGCTGAAGTAATTGACGGTGGTCACGTTGAGTGCCAACAGGAGGGAGTAGATGGGCAGACACTGAACTTCGATAACGCCTGCCTGGTGTGAGGTGGCATTCACCTCATCGCTGCTTATCTTGCCCAAGTTGAATTGCTGTTTAAACATCACCTGGAACAACAAAGTGTGTCGATTGCATATTAGGCTGGGCTCACCCCATATTGTCGTACTATAGGCTCATGGCAGTCACGGTCCAGTCCAATATTTTCTTTAATGCATTTATTTAGAAGCATTAGCACGAGCCGTGCAAGGCACCTGCCATGTCCATGGTGTGAAGGATTCTATGGAAATGCATTAAAGAATATTTGCCAGGACTGTTACTGGTATATACAACCCATGGCAAAAATTATGGAATCACCGGCCTCGGAGGATGTTCATTCAGTTGTTTAACTTTGTAGAAAAAAGCAGATCATAGACATGACACAAAACTAAAGTCATTTCAAATGACAACTTTCTGGCTTTAAGAAACACCCATAAGAAATCAAGAAAAAAATTGTGCAGTCAGTAACGGTTATTTTTTTAGACCAAGCAGAGGGGAAAAAATACGGAATCACTCAATTCTGAGAAAAAAGTATGGAATCATGAAAAACAAAATAACGCTCCAACACATCACTAGTATTATGTTGCACCACCTCTGGCTTTTATAACAGCTTGCAGTCTCTGAGGCATGGACTTAATGAGTGACAAACAGTACTCTTCATCAATCTGCCTCCAACTTTCTCTGATTGCTGTTGCCAGATCAGCTTTGCAGGTTGGAGCCTTGTCATGGACCAGTTTCTTCAACTTCCACCAAAGATTTTCAATTGGATTAAGATCCGGACTATTTGCAGGCCATGAACTTGACCTTATGTCTTTTTTCAAGGAATGTTTTCACAGTTTTTGCTCTATGGCAAGATGCATTATCATCTTGAAAAATGATTTCATCATCCCCAAACATTTTTTCAATTGATGGGATAGGAAAAGTGTCCAAAATATCATCGTAAACTTGTGCATTCATCGAAGATGTAATGACAGCCATCTCTCCAGTGTTTTTATACCTGACATGCAGCCCCATATCATCAATGACTGTGGAAATTTGCATGTTCTCTTACGGCAGTCATCTTTATAAATCTCATTGGAACAGGACCAAACAAAAGTTCCAGCATCATCACCTTGCCCAATGCAGATTCGAGATTCAACACTGAATATGACTTTCATCCAGTCATCCAGTCCACGATTGCTTTTCCTTAGCCCATTGTAACCTTTTTTCTGTTTTGGTGTTAATGATGGCTTTCGTTTAGCTTTTCTGTATGTAAATCCCATTTCCTTTAGGCGGTTTCTTACAGTTCGGTCACAGACGTTAACTCCAGTTTCCTCCCATTCGTTTCTTCTTTGTTTTGTTGTGCATTTTCGGTTTCTGAGACATATTGCTTTAAGTTTTCTGTCTTGACGCTTTGATGTCTTCCCTTGCTTTGTCTACCAGTATGTTTGCTTCTAACAACCTTCCCATGTTGTTTGTATTTGGTCCAGATTTTAGACACAGCTGACTGAACAACCAACATCTTTTGCAACATTGCGTGATGATTTACCCTCTTTTAAGAGTTTGATAATCCTTTCCTTTGTTTCAATTGACATCTCTCGTTTTGGTGCCATGATTCATATGTCAGTCCACTTGGTGCAGCAGCTCTCCAAGGTGTGATCACTCCTTTGTAGATGCAGACTAACGAGCAGATCTAATTTAATGCAGGTGTTAGTTTTGGGGCTGAATTTACATGGTGATTCCATAATTTTTTCCTCAGAATTGAGTGATTCCATATTTTTTCCATCTGCTTGGTCTAAAAAAATAACCGTTACTGACTGCACATTTTTTTCATTGATTTCTTATAGTGTTTCTTAAAGCCAGAAGTTGCCATTTGAAATGACTTTAGTTTTGTGTCATGTCTGTGATCTGCTATTTTTCTACAAAGTTAAAGAACTGAATGAACATCATCTGAGGCCGGTGAATCCATAATTTTTGCCAGGGGTTGTATGTATGTCTAGCAGTATGGTGTTAACCCAATCTTAGTTCGTTTCGATATCATGACAGCCAACTTGGATAAAACGCTGATTCAATTGAAATTATCCTCTGAAATGATCTGGAAGAACAAACTGTTTTTGCTTTCGGTTCCATAAGAGATCTTAATTGATCGAACGCTCCCGATTGAATGTGAAGCTTACAGTCAAGAAATTTATGAGGTGCCGTTTACATCACTCACGGAATGAGGATGTGGCTTCGTGCTGAGACAAGCGCCCACTGTCCACGCCTTCCTGTTCTTCTTGCGCACCAATTCGTAGTTCTTGGGGTCGCCTTCGATCAGGAGGCCTCGCCAGCCCAGGGTCTTCTCGAAGACGAGCGAGTTGGAGCGCGTTTCCCCGTCAAGCGCTCCACACTCGACGAAGAATCCATCTCGCTATTGGGAAATCAACATACTGATGGTTATTAAAGGACCCCATCACTGTATTCGTGGCGAAAATTGTTGATTTCTTCAAAACTGAGAGAAGGATATAATAAGCGGGACGGAGATTTGACATGGAAAATAAATAGCGTGGTTGATCTGGTTGCAAGCTCGACTAGCAGCTTAGCTCGGCATCTGTATGCGCGGACTATTCACCGTCGCTTGTTTTAGCTTAACCTAGCACCGGCATGTAAATAAATAAAAGTTAAGAATGCATGTATAAGTTAAGATGAGTCTTAAATTATGTCACTACTTATAAAAATTAGTATCATTTCGTCAGAGATACCAAGCCATTATACGACATCCACTTTCAAATAGAATTATAGCAGCCCTTAATTGGGGTTGCATGAGAAGACAAGCCATAGTGTAGTTATACCCTTGAAGACAGCTTACTTCAAACATGCACATGTCGTTACTATAACCGTGTCCTATTTAGGACCTGCAGTAATTGCTCATAACAAGGGCGAGGAAAACAGCCAAGGCCCATTTATTAGTTGCCTACACATACAATTTCAAAAGTAGTGTGCATGATAATTTTTCAAAAGTTCATGAGTGTCAGACGATCGAAGGATACATTGCCTAAACTTATTCCCACCTAGCGGTACTTCAACTATTCACTTTTACATGTAAAGCAGCAATGATATAACTGCTGATATTTAGAAACTTGAGAGAGCAAGCAAGTTCCCAGGACCGCGAAAAAGCGAGACATGCGTACATTGGTTGGACTGGTACAATTTATCACAGATTTAACTCAAAACTATCAATAATTTATTTGTGCCCAATTGATACGCTGTGTTAGTGCCGTCCTAATGCAAGTCACTAAACTTCAGAAAATTTCAAACATTCTTATTTCAAATTCGTATATTTGTCAGTGTTAAGTTATGAAGTGAAAAAGAAAAAATGACTTTGCCGGAAAAAATGTTTAGAGACATTACCTAGTAACTTCATTTGATAGAATCCTCCAATCTCGGCTATACAAAAATTTGCATGGATACAACCGTTGTAGGTGCCTAATTACAGGTGAAATAATAATAGAATGTCATTCACATTTGATCATGGAGAAACATATGACTGCCACAAAGTAATGTGATACTTATTATTTAAAAGAAAATAAATTATTTATTGAGGCTATAGGTGCTGCTGAAAGTATTTACAACATTCACTGCGTGAGGCGGGCATCTTTGATCAGCGGATGAGGAGGGCTATAATTATTTGTGAAAAGCAAGCCTTTTATGAAGAATGATATTCTGTTACATCATGTATCCTGGATATATACGCGCCCAAACAGCATAAATGTATTTACCGAGCATCGGCTTCAAACACTCACACTAGCAAAATTACAAACTTCGATAATTACAAACATACACGATCATTTTGTTGCATGCTGTGCTATGAACAATATTTACTTGTTGGATTAAATATCATTAGAGTATAAATAGTATGATATACTAGGATGCTATTGGTGGTGAACCTAAGTGTTGCAGTCATGGTGCTTATCAGTCATGTACCCAATTACGAAATATTCACTGGGCTTACTTCTACTTCAGTGCCTTCAAAATCTCCATTACTCACAAACTCGCCCATTATCTTCCTGATAGCAGAAGACTGTCCCTGTGAAGGGTCGTCGCCAACCGTGAGCTGGTACGGCTGCAGAGATGGTGTGTCCAGATACTGGCTGCGTATTCTCTGAAGTAAACATGAAAGGTTATTATTCCTCCCCATTAGTTTATATTTTTGGGAAGTGATTCTTGATAAATTCCATGTGAATTAGTTGATGATTAAAAGCTCCAATTTGATTGTTATTTACCGTCGGACCCCGTGTTTTTAATCGATTATATTATGTTGTGTGCTTCGTTATCACTGACGCATTAAAAAAACTAATTCAAGTCCAGTTGATACTCAACAACCAAATATATATGAGCACGAATAAAGCAACATAAACCGCTTTAGAAAGCTTTAGCTTATAAGAATGACTTGCAAAATGTAACAACAAAACCGAACCTCAATGAGCCTGGGGTCGTCTTGCTCGAGTGTTCCCCTCCTACCGCTCATCGCGTCGGAAATATCGGAAGAAATCTGGTCACAAGCCAGAGGAGGAGAGCAGTCGAGGGACGGCACTGCATCCGATCGCAGAGCAGGTTGTAGGGCTTGAACGGGCACCAAAATATAGGGTTATTGACAATTATTACAACAGATATAAAGAAATAAATAAATAAAAATTTCATGCATTATGTTATTGGCCACTCACGGTTGGAAGGCGCTGTCTTCAATATCCCGACATATATGATAGAGCCAAGGCAGAGCAGGCGAACACTGAATGGCGGTCTCAGACGGCGGTTGCTGCACCTGGTTGATGGAAATGACAGTTTCTTATCAAATTATTAGATGCGTCTCGTGAGCCAAGCTGAGTCAACCCCCTCAAGCGCGCTACCTTCTTCCAACAGAATTTATACGCAATATTGTCATCAAATTTACGGGGCCTCAGCAAACGCTGTCTGCCGTTGTTGATGGGCCTCAAGCGTTTGTATGTTCTTCTACTGATCTACTCTATGTTGACAGACTTCCACTTTGGGGTCGGGCCTAAAGGCCCGTTTCCACTATGAGACTCTGCGAGACTGACGATTGAAAAACTGGCTTTTTCAGTCCGGACTGAGGCAGTCCGGACCATCGAGACTGGAGTGACGGGGAGTCAAGTGCTGTTCAACTGTTCAATCTTTTTTACTGGACTTGCGTGAGTAGCGTGACGGAGTACGGACAAGGGGCAGTGTCGCTGTGACTTTCGTTCAAGGAGGTTGTGTGCTTGGCGTGCGCTCCAATAGACGCACAATTGCCTGCCTCTTTGCTTAACTGACCATGTCGCACGACGGAGACTGAAGCAGAGATGTCACTGAAAGGCTTATCGATTTATAGAGAGAGGCACCTTGCTTCTGGTAAGTAAAAAGCTCATTTTACAGAGACAGAATCTTGAGAATTAGAGAAAATAAGTAAAGAAATGGATAAATTATATCCATCCACGAACATCGACAAATGGAAATAATACTTCCTAACTTCTCATTGACCGATTTTATCTGTTTATTGACATAGATTCACTCGTCCGTCAATTAAAAAATCTTAATTATCTTATTGTACTTACAGTGTATGTATACTCAGTAAATAGTAAATAAACACATTAACCAATAATAGTAGTAGCATTTGTGAAGCACGCTATGATACCTATCTAAATCTATAGACCAAAAACCAGACATGGTTAAACATTGTGACGTATTTATTACATTTAATTTTCTCGACACATTAAGATGTGTATAAGAGACAGCAATTATACACCGAAGATTTTCAATATGAAGCACAACTCTTTAATTCGTGGATGCCAGCTTCGTGAAAACTTACTGGATGAAAGTAGGCTCACCACGGGCCGCTATAGGCCACTTCTCTCAATGAACTCCCGAAGCAGGCAGTCTGTGCTCGAGAACACTGGCCAGATAATTAGTACCTAGCGG